TCCCTTCTGTGAAGCCTGAAGTCAACTAAATGGCTGATGATAACCAACAAGACGCCTGCCATTTGATATAAATAAATTAATTTAAATATACGACTTCTAGAAAAAAGGATTAAATCCACTTGTATATGATTATGCTTAGCTTACTAGGTCCTTTTCCTCACATTTTACATCTTCTAATACATAAATTTATAGGGCTAATGATAAATATCATAAAGCCTGCCATTTTAAATAAATAAAATACATAAATTTATTAGTCAAAGATGAAATCTCTTTTTTGAAGCAAGTGGCGTTAACATTCTAGAGTGCTTCAAGACACTGAAATTGCCAGTGAAATTAAAAAAAAAATTTGAAGAGGAAAAAAAGTTCTTTTACTTCACAATTTCTTTCAACCGTATTTAATTGGACGCTGCCTTCTAGTTCGGCACCAATTGTATTAAATCAACATTTCGCATTCACAGCGTCACTTCCCCTCTTCACCGCTAGTACCCCCCCCCCCCCCATTGGCAAAAGACCTCGTATTTGACTGGATTGGATATAATAAGTGGAAGGAAGTACCATTCAGCATTTGTATCCTCCAACTCAGGGAGTTTACTGCACTCTGCTTAAGAATACATTTTAATATATATTCTCATTAATTTATTAACTTTTGATTGGCAGAAAGCCATTGAGCGCAGGTAAAAAAGACAATTAAAAAATCAAATATGCTTAAAGGAGGGTGAAATGGAAGTAGTAATTAAAGTCACAACTTCAAGAACCTGCGAGAGTTGACATGGCTTCGGGGTGTAAGTGCCAACTTCGTGGGTGTTGTTTACAAACAAAATTATGCAATCTTTCCCTATTGAATTCAGGTTCAATGCGTCATGGGAATATTAATGCATTTATTCATTTGAAAGGTTAGTAAACCATTTACATTAAATTTACTCCTCTAATGGTCAAGACAGTAAGGCAAGGCACAGTAAAGTTCACACAGTAAGGATCCTTTTGTCAGTGCAGCCATTAAGACTAATTCCCTGTGGCAGAATTTGCTTTTTAATTTGACTGCTTGACTTCAAATTACACCCCATTGCTTTCGTTTAAGGTTTTTAAGTCTCCCATCTTAACAGCTAAAAATTCACCTAAACAGGCTTTATGATGTAGGTAAGCTTTCCGGATGCCTGGGGAATGGATAATGACCCTCCCCCCCCCCCCCCCCCCCCCCTCCCCACCCATAAAGTTCTTCACCATTCAAGAGGCATTAGAACCGTAATGAGTCATCCAAATAGGAGGCTAAAGCGACCAATCATAATTTCAGTTTGAATTCCTTTTGCTCAGAGTTTATTCTAATAGGCCTGATTTAAGAACCTATTTGATTTGAAGGCAATTTAACCTTTTTAATGAAGTTTAAATTTATCAAAATGGAACACATGCAATTTGAAACTTTGTGTATCAATGACGCCTAAGCCCAGTGCTCTATTTAAACGAAGAATTGACAGGGAGAATAGATGTCCCAAATCCGATTCCAATGAATGAGGCAAACTGCTCTACTTACAGGAAGCAAATATCTCATTAATACCACGTCGAAAGGCTCCTCTTCAATCTACGATAGCATTTATAAACAGGTTATGGACTTGTAAATCAACCATTAAGGACACAATTCAATCAAGTCTAAAATTTGCTGCACCCGAAATCGGATGGCTACTGTTATTTCACTTTTAGGTAAATATGTACGCATTTCTCTGACTGTATGAAAACTTATCATTGATGTTGGAACCGAATTACATGAATTAGATTTGAACGGAAAACTTTTGTCTCGATTCCATGGTTTTACTACCAAATATCCAAACAACGGCGCGTGCGGATAATTCCCAGACGTCCAGCTGAGTTGATTGCGCTTCAACCACAAAGCTGCATTCCATTCTATAGACTTAAAATCCTCTAATTAGACCAGGAATGATTCGTGTCAGCAGGAATCAGCCATTATTTCGGATATTTCATTCCTTACTATTATAGGGAGCAATACAAGTATAAATAATTCGATCAAAAAATTTACTCACAACTGATCGCCTACCATTAAATGTCACTTTTTGTTGGTAAAGAAGCAAAATCTGAATCTCGAATCTGTTATGGCATTGCAGATAATTAAATAGGGTTAAACTGACCGAAATCCAGGAGATATCTAAGACCATTTATGAAAGGTAAATGAGTAAAGACCAAAGGAAACCTAATTTATTGATGACCAAGAGTGGTATTGATAAGGGTTTGCCGAATTGGCAAGATGGAAAAATGTTCCCAACTTCATCTGAAGAACCGTTCACTCTACTTGACTTGAATCGAAAGAAGGTAACTTAGAGCATGCATTTCACTGAATGTACACCGACGAACATCTATCTCATGACTTCCATCTTGAAAAGCACACGCCTTAACCGCAATGTCAACAGTACTCATCAATATGAAAAAAAAAGATTTTTTTCAAGCATCCATTAAATCATTTCTTTTTAACACATATCATCGATACATCATTTTCGATGCACCCTTTGATACAGGGAAAGGTCACCGGCACTAAGTCAATTCAACAAACGGGTTTCACATCAACACACTCCAATGTATTAAGCCCCCAGTTAACGCCTTACTAGATTCGTATCTGAAGGGTTACAGCAGGAATTTTATTCAGAACACAAAGAATAATTCTGGCGTAAAAGGGTTAAATAAATATTAAATCATTACTATGGCATTAAATTAAATTAGAGCATTTGTATTAACCAAAAGGATACTTCATTTCTTACGGTGTTTTGATCGACATCTGCAGATAGCTGAATTGGCTCTCTTTGACAGAGCGCCGTAAAACTGAATGGAGATCTGAATGGGATGGTGTACTGAAAAAGAAAATACAACAGAGTTACTCGTCCATGCTAGGCAACTATTATCCATATCATTAGAGCGTAGTTAAAAGGAAAAGACAATGTTAATAACAGGCAGGTCAAACTTTCACAACTTGGCTTTCAGAACCTGTAATTAAGGTATATGGGCAGTAAAATGTCAAAGACGAGTTAGCCTAAGAGAAAACTATATAACCTGGGGTAGGGAGGTAGGAATCTCGTAAATATAAGAATCTTGAGCGCTAAGGGCTATTTAATATAGAGTGGTAATAAAATGCAAGTTGTAATAAAAGGACCCTACTAAAATTAATTAAGTAGACGTACGAAGAAGAGTTGGGAGGAGTGGAGGAGCAGAACCCAAGTGGCGATGAAGAATGTGTGCCACCGCCAAAATGCATATCTTGTGGATGATTTAAATTTACGGTGCTTTGTGACGCTATATTTGGTCTGAAATTAAAGGGAAAATATTCCATCAACGAATTCATGCGGAATTTATGGAAAAGTTATGCATACTAATTCATAATTCCTAGTTTAATTATTTCGACAAATTGATGCATGGCTATAAGCTAGCGATTGAGAAAGGGTTTCATGATACCTGCGACCTTTGACCTGGAATCTACTCAACTTAGAAGACCATGTTCAGCTGCTATTGTTGATTCATTTAAATGTTCATTGAAGAGTTTCCCCGATGAATATAAAGTCAACTTTTTGGTGTATGCCATTTTAACTAGCAGTGTCTTTATAATGCTTGGCCTTGTAAGTATAGCCTTATCTTTATAACGAAAAAACAGTATTCTCGTCAGTAGATTAAAAACGCTACTTTCTATTCTATGACAATTCACAGGTGGTCAGCAGTGTTTATTTCGATGTTGTCGAAAAACTTTCCTTGTGATGAGAGTTCTATGCTCCGAATTGGCTGTAGAAATCCGATCAAACCGAAAAAACTTTGACTTCTTGAATAATTCATTTATAGATTTGACAACGGAGCTCAAGAAATCAGACCACTTCACTAAAAAGAGTTAGCCCAATGAATCAAAATTTCTATTCCTTTATTGTGACTCACCCTTCACCTCATTTACCCTTGATTTAAATTACCTCAACGAAGCAGTGTTAAATACTTTCACAAAATAAAATGTTTATTTTTAATGCACTGTTAACTATGTTATAGCAAAATTAAGACTGCCTATATGACAATGATATTTGTAGTTTCGGTGCAAAATCCTGTTATGCCAATTAAAGCTACTGTTAAACAAAAAATTTCAAGTTAGTACTAGAAATGTCCAATGTGCGTAGGAGAAAGGGATCAGGTTTCGGCAATGCTTGGACCAAAAATACATATCGTTGCGCACAACTGTAAATAGATCTGAACTCTGTCTATTGTAACGTAGTAGAACCAGTGTAGTAGAGGATGTTAAACAGAAATGAGCAAAACTAACGAGGAAAAATATATTCCCATCCTTCATTACATGAAAATTAAGTTATAACATATAGGCTACTGATGACTATTAGGTAGCAGATTTACCTTATTCAAATTGCTTTCGCACTGCGATTCAGACCCGTGTGCATCTTCGATGGTCGCTTCGTTAGGTTGCTGTCCAAGGAGAAGGACACAATCTACACGCTCACGATGGTGAGGAAAGATGACATCTTGTCGATAGACCTTCCAATGACGCATCATCTTGCAGGGCACCTTGAATTCGAATCGATTGTCCGGACTCACTGAGGTCCTTAGCAGCTCCTCGCGGATTCTACTTTCTCTCTAAATTAAGAGAGCACATTTGTAAATATTGCACAATTCAACACAAAGCGAATTTCTGAAAAGCGTTCGAGCGTTAATTTTCACGTGACTTGGGTCTGTATTTTATTATCCAATTTTGATTGTCAATAACCACGGAGTTGGACCACAATGTAGGTAAAAGTCAAAATATAAGCAATTGCGTTAGTTCGGTATAAAATTTAAATTGAAATGCGATTTGAGAATAAATATTAATTTCTTTTACTAGTTCGATTTGAAATACACGAAGCAACTTTAATCGTTTCAGAGACACGATGGTTAACATGAGGTCAAAGGATACGGATTCGATGCCCATCAATGAAAGCCTAATGACAGAACCAACTTAGGGAGAGCAGAACTCGATTTCATTATCATAGAGGCTCTGTGCTGTTATTTCTTCCTTCATAAAGACCAATGATAAATGCTTTTCTTAATGAATTCGAGAATTACTCCCATATTTCGGCCAAAGTAAGAAAGAACATGTCTTGGTAAGTGGAGTAATAAGATATCATGACCAACGTCACAATTGAAACAACTAGTAAATAAGAATCGTTAACTTTAGATTCGAACTCATTCGGGGATTTTCTACTTAGATACTATAATCTTCAATTTTATGTTCCCATTGTGTTAAATTTATAGAAGTAAGTGTTACTGTTCGCCTTCATAGGAGAACAGAACTAGGATACCATAAATGTCTTTTTTAACAAAATCATGACAATAGGATGTTACAATTCCCCCCTAAAATGAGAACTCTGCTAAAAGCAAATTTAACACATTTTCCGCTTTTTTTTCTTATAAAGGCCAAATATGTACAAAACATTATCTGACAATCTACGGATGGGTGATGCTTTTGTCCTATTTCTTAAAATATTTACATTGCAAACGCATCTAAAATCTCAACAATTCTGTGAGCAACATTTTGCTTTAGCATTGGCAATACTGATTTCAAATCAAACCTAAGGTTTGCGGATCTAGAAATTGGCATAAATTTTAGACTAAAGGGCAAGCAAGTATTACTTGCATTGTGAAATGGTAACCTTAGAATCAATTCAATACGATTTAATGGCAAATTACGACGTTTACTAATCGAAAAAGGATGGAGCCTATTGTGTTATTTTACTTGACTCACTTACCAGGAATCTTCCATTAATTTTAAACCTGTAATTAGTAAATACGAGGTAATAAAAAAGGTGGAAATAGGTTGGAGGCGAGAATATGTTTAAAGCAATAAGTGACGATTTATTTACAAAGCTAATATATGGGACGGTGACGCAGTAGCTAATTTGCTCGTTAGCCAAGTCTCCTTTCTGTGGGTTTTATGCCCATCGCGATGGGCCAAGTGACCAACTGCGCTGGTTTAGTTTGTCAAACAAATGGGTGGGTTGGGGTGGGGTGGGGTGAGGGAGAGGAGAGACTTAACGATGCTGCATCCGAAACCAAGATGAGCATTGGAATACGCTTTAGTAAATAGCCTAAGAGCTTATAGTTATTATTGCCATTTATTCGAATTTCATATTCACTTAAGTGGTGAAATATGCAGAAGCTTAGCTTTCAGATGGTATGGTAAAAGTGGAGCTGATTTAAGTCCGTATCTTACCTTGCCGAAATGGGAAATGTAGGTAGATATCTCTTATGTTATTTTAAAAAAATATGCAGAGGCTTTGAACTGCTTCTTTCAGAAATAAGCATGCTAAATTTAAAATGACTTTCAAAGAAATATGACGACGGTTCATAGTATGTGGGAAATGGAGATGATAAAGGGGAAGACAACGATTCCACTACACTAATCCGGAGAACGTTTTATTAATTACTATCAGATTACAGTGTTTTCTGCGGGATTGTTCAAAATTTCACCAATATTGAGATTCATCCAACTTCAATAGTAAATTTAGATTGAATGATTAAAATCCGGTATACAGACATTTCAATTATTACCTAGTATCGAATAGCGTATGATTTACTGCGACCGAAATTCGTACGGGGTGCTATGACAAAGCAGTTCGATACATAAATTTCAACTTGCTTTGAAAGGACAACTCATTCGTAAATTCAAACAGATTTCATAACGTTTTGTCAAAATAACGTTTTAGTTAATGGCAACACCGGCTGGTTCTTTAGTCAACAAAAGTGGTAACATTCGTTTATCCTTCCAAACAAAGGGAAGTATGAGTAGAGATGCTGTTTTAAGTCAGTGGAGTTCAGCAATTGTCTCATTCACTTCTATAATTCAGCTCTCAGAATAAAAAAAACTTTCCAGCTTCCCTTTGTTGCGCCTAGTGAAGAAAACCTGCAAGAAGGGAGACTTACTTCAGTGAGAAAAAGTAGGTCGCGTTTGACAAAGTATCCATGCTGATGGAGACCAAGTTCATTGCACTTCTTGATCACCGACTTGTGAACGCTGAAACGATGTTCCTGAAATGAGGAAAACTAATACTTGGTATTGCTTAACGAGGCAACAATGCAGGATACTGGTGGTGTTTGAAGGTGATTACTATTTTTAGGGGAGAAAATAAAACGTTGGCGAAAATGCTAATGCGAGCAACTTAACTTCTTCATGAATGCGGAATTCTGGAATGGGATATGCAGCAATGTTGCGAGATATTTCTGTGTTTATAGGTCGACTATCTACTTCTAATTTCTATTAAGAAAAGCACAAAGTTATGGACTATAAGAGGCAATAGTTTGCGATGTAACTGAAAGAGTATACGAGAGCTATGACATAGAAAAAAGTGCCTTATGTTGACCGCTTTTTCCTCCCTTTTAAATCCCCTATACTTTTGAACTATTTGTACTGATTATTCTGTTAGAAGAGGAAATTTAATATTAGTTGTGCTTCGATGAGTGTTATAAAATTATCTGGACGGTAATTGTCTCGAAAGCTGAAATCCCATGCCTTCTTCTGTGATACTGCCTGGAAGGAAGAATTTAATGAGTTGCAGGTCTTCCCATCCAGAGTCTTAATGACTATAGTTGCAATGGTTTCGTAAGATAAAGCTACATTATAACTTTATAGAAGTTCGCGCAATAAAGGTATTCACTACCTCTTCAGTGAAATAATATTTTAACTAACTCTCTTCTAGCAAAATCTGATTTCTCTCCTGTTACTCTTCGTTCAACAGGCATGACGCAAGCAAAAATGACTATTTCCTTAGAAGTGTTTCACTAGGTGTGAAACTTGGTCGGTTTTTTCCTAATAATCTATCCAATTGGCCCCTAAGCATTACTTCCAGTCGACAGCGTTAATTAAAATCATGCATTTAGAGGCGATCTGGTTTAAAATTATTACCACCAGTGACCATATTTCTAACTCAGAGCATCGTAAGATTTAATGGAATGAACTGGGGCCGTTATTTTCTTTCGCTCGCTACTTCACTTCTCATTTTGCTCTTTGTGTAGTTATCTGCCTACTGGAGCTTTCATTGGAAATGCGAAAATGTTCTGGGAAGACGATCGCGTCTTCTGCAACAACATTGGACGGAGACAGCGAAATTCGTGCGTAATAAGGGAAAGAGGAGGGGGAGGGGGGGGGG